TTTTTTTTTAAATACTGGGGGAGAAGGCTCCCCAGTCCCCTCTACCGCTCAAGATTTATCTTACCTACTTGTGGCTTTTACCCGTTTTGGCACAGGCCGTCTACACGAATTTTCCATGCACCTCAGTCCCGTTCTCTCCTTCCAGTTGCTTCCAGTTGTATCCCTTATTTTGTGTGTCTGTCTCTAGCTCGTTTTTCCATGTATTTTTAGGGCTCCCTCTCTTTCTTTGTTTCCCGGTGGAATTTACGTTAGGGATTGTCTGGTGATTTTACATCGTGGTTTGCAGAATGTGTGCCCAATCCACCTCCATCTTTTCCTTATTATGTTTTAACCAATAGGCTCCTGGTCTGTCCTTTTTAGTACGTCTATGTTCGTGATGGTGTTTGGCCATTTGATGTTCAGGATCTTTCTAAGGCAATGGTTTATAAAAGTATGTACTTTCTGCATAATGCTTGCTGTTGTCCTCCAAGTTGCGGCTCCATAGAGTAGGACTGTTTTGACATTTGTGTTGAAAATTAAGACTTTGGTTTGAAGACTCAGCTGCTTTGACTCTCATATTTTCTTTAATCGCACAAATGCTGACATAGCCTTTCAAGGTGTTGCCCTGGCAACCGCTTAGGATCTCCCAGTTAAGTCAATAGTGCTGCCTTAGTATGTGAAGGACTCCACTTCTTCCAGTGCATTTCATACGAGGGTTATCTGCTCTTGGGGGGATGAGGTTACCTTCATGATCTTTGTCTTACTTTTATTTATAGAAATAAAAGCAAGATTCATCTGCGCCCTTTATACCGATGAAAATTGTCGCTAATTTTCGTTTGATCAACGATAGATTTTGGCGTAGCTAATATTACTGTCACCATGGGCGGCCAAATACTTTTGCCGCTCTTCCATTCACGATACAAGCTCTGCATTTATCCAAAAATGCCGCACCTCCATTAAAAGAAAAAATGGACCCCTGAGTGAACAAACTCATCCTACCCCTTTCTACGCCGCTGGCAGTGGCCCAACTAGTTTGTTTGGCGTCAGGGGACATTATTCATTTTTCACCCCCCCTCCCTCAACCATGTATCTAATTATTTTAACGCATTTAATACCATCCAAGCCCAGTTTGGTGCCCTGCTATTCTGCGCACCGGGACGTATTCCCATCTGCCACTGCTTAGCTACGCTTCTGGCCATTGCTCACTGGCAACTGGCACTGCCCCTCCCCCCCATAAAAACAGACATCCCCCGGGGGATTGTCTGAAAGAAACACTGCACCCTACCTATCGGTCTTTAGATACGCCATAAGCTAAGCCCCAGAGAATTTATATATGCCATAAATGAACTCCATGAGAATTTATATATGCCATAAGTGAACTCCCAGAGAAGTTATATCTATCATAAATGAACTCCCAGATAAGTTATATATGCCATAAATGAACTCCCAGAGAAGTTATATATGTCATAAATGAACTCCAAGATAACTTATATATGCCATAAATGAACTCCAAGAGAATTTATATATGCCATAAGTGAACTCCGAGAGAATTTATATATGCCTTAAATGAACTCCAAGAGCATTTATATATGTCATAAATGAACTCCTAGGGAAATTATATATACCATAAAGGAAGTCCCAGAGAACTACGGTAGGCCACAAGGACAAATGTAAAGCTATTTCGGGGCCACATGGATATTATGCCCAATTTTTACATGTCGATAAACATTTCGCTATATTAAAATCGGTAAATTCGTATTTTAGAATTAGATGACAATTGTCACGGATTGTTTTAGAAAATAGAAATTTACAAATAAATTTGATCAAAATGTTTAAAAAATCATGATGGTACATGGAATTCTGTAAAATTGAATAAAATAACTTTAAAACATTTTTTTTATTTCTAAATGCCTTCTAAGGCCGCATGCGGCCCGTAGGCCGTAGTTAGCCCACCCCTGCCATAAATGAAGTCCAAGATAAGATATATTGCCCATAAAAGAACTCCCAGAGAAGTTAGATATGCCATAAATGAACTCCCAGAGAAGTCATATTTGCCATAAATCAACTCCCAGAGAAGTTATACATGCAATATATGAACTCCAAGATAAGTTATAAATGCCATAAATGAACTCCCAGAGAAGTTATATTTGCCAAAAGTGAACTCCCCGAGAAGTTATATATGCCAGTAATGAACTCCCAGAGTAGTTATATATGCCATAAATGAACTCCCAGATAATTATATATGTTATAAATGAACTTCAAGAGAAGTTACATATGCCATAAATGAACTCCCAGAGAAGTTATATTTGCGATAAATGAACTCCCAGAGAAATTATATATGCCATAAATAAACGCACAGACAATTTATATATGTAATAGATGATGTCCAAGAGAAGTTATATTTGCCATAAATGAACTCCCAGAGAAGTTATATTTGCCATAAATATTGTCCAAGAGAAGGTGTATTGCCATAAATGAACTCCCAGAGAATTTATATTTGCCTTAAATGAACTCCCAGAGAAGTTATATATGCCATAAATGAACTCCCAGATAATTATATATGCCATAAATAAACTTCCAGAGAAGTTACATATGCCATAAATGAACTCCCAGGGAAGCTATATTTGCCATAAATGAACTCACAGAAAAGTTATATTTCTCATAAATGAACTCCATGAGAAGTTATATATGCCATAAATGAAGTCCAAGAGAAGTTATATTTGCCATAAATGATGTCCAAGAGAAGGTATATTGCCATAAATGAACTCCCAGAGAAATTATATCTGCCATAAATGAACTCGCAGAGAATTTATATTTGCCTTAAATGAACTCCCAGAGAAGTTATATATGCCATAAATGAACTCACAGAGAAGTTATATATGCCATAAATGAACTCCCAGAGAAGTTATATTTGCCGTAAGTTAACTCCCAGAGAATGTATATATGCCTTAAATGAACTCCAAGAGAATTTATAAATGCCATAAATGAACTCACAGAGAAGTTATATATGCCATAAATGAACTCCCAGAGAAGTCATATTTGTCATGAATAAACTCCCAGAGAAGTCACATTTGCCAAAATGAACTCTCACAGAAGTTATATTTGCATAAATGAACTCCCAGAGAAGTTATGTTTGCCATGAATGAACTGTCAGAGAATTTATATTTGCCTTTAATGAACTCCCAGAGAAGTTATATATGCCATAAATGAACTCTCAGAGAAGTTATAATTGCCATAAATGAACTCCCAGGGAAGTTATATTTGACATAAATGAACTCACGGAGAAGTCATATTTGCCATAAATGAACTCCCAGAGAAGTCATATTTGCTATGAATGAACTCTCAGAGAAGTCATCATTGCCCATCATGGTCAACAGAGCCGTAAAAAGGATGAGCGAAGGATGGCATTGTCGCCATGGTTTTTTTCGTGGAAGGGGTTCCTAAAAAATCTTGACCCGCACCGATCGTAGCTGAGGTCACAGAGCTCTGTAGTAGTGACTAGGGTCACAGAGCTCTGTAGTAGTGACTGGGGTCACTGAGCTCTGTAGTAGTGACTGGGGTCACAGAGCTCTGTAGTAGTGACTGGGGTCACTGAGCTCTGTAGTAGTGACTGGGGTCACAGAGCTCTGTAGTAGTGACTAGGGTCACTGAGCTCTGTAGTTGTGACTGGGGTCACTGAGCTCTGTAGTAGTGACTGGGGTCACAGAGCTCTGTAGTAGTGACTAGGGTCACTGAGCTCTGTAGTTGTGACTGGGGTCACAGAGCTCTGTAGTAGTGACTAGGGTCACTAAGCTCTGTAGTAGTGACTGGGGTCACAGAGCTCTGTAATAGTGACTAGGGTCACTGAGCTCTGTAGTAGTGACTAGGGTCACAGAGCTCTGTAGTAGTGATTAGGGTCACAGAGCTCTGTAGTAGTGACTAGGGCCCTCAATTACACGTTGTGTCTTAGTTGCGTCAGTATAAACATTTATTAAAACCAAATTCCTATCACATGCCTTCAAGGCCACGAGGCAGTGTTAGACAACATTTTGGTCTATTTCTGTCTAATAGTTATCATTACCTGACATTAGATCATCGTTAAACCATTGGCTTCGTTTACATCAGTGGTCAGAAGCCTGTGGTCACCAGGGTTAGTGTCAATCAGTGCGGTAAACTCATGGTGTTACCCCCTCAAGACACAACGGAGTCAAAGTAAGAGAGCAGAAGTGGTGGATCAGTGTGTTGAGTATCGTCGTGTGGTGGATCAGTGTGTGATGGATTAGTTTGTGATGGATCAGTACGTTGTGGATCATTGTTTGGTGGATCTGCGGTGGCATACCGGGTGGCACTAACCCTAGCTCCTGTACTCCCCTACTCACACCTACCTCCCAACCCCCCCCCCAACTTACAAAAAATAAATAAAAAACAATCCTTGTTTATTGATGCGCACATGTCAAAAGACGGCGCTCTCATCCCGTTACATACATCAGGTGTACCTATAGTCTGACACGCGCAAACGGTCCCAGACCTCCTCATCGTCATCATTTTTATGATGTTATATATGTCCGTACTCCACCGTGTGACTTTGGGAGCCCCTAATGCCACGTTTCAATGTGCGCCCTGTATTCAAAGTTGATAGTTTATGTTGTTTCCATTACTTTAGGCTAATTAATGCTAACAAGTTCCGAGACATGAACAACCACCATCAGGCCACGTAGTCCTGTCGACGTTCCGCCTGTTGGACGGCTAGCAGCAGGCCACGTGGTCCTGTCGACATTCCGCCTGTTGGACGGCCAGCAGCAGGCCACGTAGTCCTGTCGACTTTCCGCCTGTTGGACAGCTAGCAGCAGGCCACGTAGTCCTGTCGACGTTCCGCCTGTTGGACGGTCAGCAACAGGCCAGTTAGCCATGTCAGCGTTGCGCCTGTTGGACGGCCAGCAGCAGGCCAGGTAGCCCTGTCCCCATCAACCAATGGAATTCATAGGAACTCATGTGACGTGCCACCGCAGATTTAATGAGTTCAAAGTTCACCAATGATGGATCACGAGCTGAGGTGTCAAAGACGCATTGGTGGTAATGTCTTTACGTCACACGCTTAGGATTTCTATTTCGTTTTGCTGTTTCATTAGGATTTCTAGCACCGAAGTAGAATGCCATCATTTGACCAAGACTTATCGAGGTAAGTTCAGTTTACCATTGCTCATCCCACCAATCAAGTTATGGTTTGTGAAACATTTACTAATCTCAGTATTCGTTACATATTTTGCTGAACATTTAGTTGAACTCATCAAATTTATATTTACATGTCTAATAATGTGGCCATACATTGACAAGACTAGGGACAAGTAATCGAGCTAATAAAGTTTTGATAGTTTGTACATTCAGTGACAAGACTAAGGACTAGTTAACTAACCTAAACATTCTTACCAGTTTGTAAATTTAGTTACAAGACTAAGGAATAGTTATCAGTGTCGTAACTAAGGGGTGCTGACCGCTCCGGGTGACACCATCTCAGGGGGGGCACCAAATTGAAAAATTGCCTATTTACAGAGCACACTGCTCGGTTTACCCAAGTTTCATAAAAGAATCACTGATTACACGCACACGTTCCACACATGAACTCAATGCAATAGCGTGCTTTATTAAGAGTTCAAGGTTCATAATGGCGTGCTTTATTAAGAGTTCAAGGTTCATAATGGCGTGCTTTATTAAGAGTTCAAGGTTCATAATGGCGTGCTTTATTAAGAGTTCAAGGTTCATAATGGCGTGCTTTATTAAGAGTACAAGGTTCATAATGGCGTGCTTTATTAAGAGTTCAAGGTTCATAATGGCGTGCTTTATTATGAGTTCAAGGTTCATAATGGCGTGCTTTATTATGAGTTCAAGGTTCATAATGGCGTGCTTTATTATGAGTTCAAGGTTCATGCGTCAAAAAATGAGGTGATCCTACGAAAGGCGCAGAAAAGCGTCTTTTGGCCATGACTCAATGCTGACTGAAGTGTTCGGGAACTTCTGTAAATGACAGGAAGCTATATTTATCTAAATTCTAGGAAATAAAGCTTTCCCTTAACACCAAATGCAATGTGGTCGGTCGATTCTAAGTAGCCTATATGAATCGAATCGGTAAAGGTTAAAAACAATTATTTTTTAAAAACTTTTTAACCATTTATAGTTTAACAAAATAATATTTTACAAAATGATAGAATATCTTTTAATAATTAATTTATTTATTTTTAGTTTTGGAAACCAAATATATCAAATCTTAGAAATACTCAAACATAAATGTTGTCGCCGATTCGTCACTAGCACCGCCCTTTAACATTTGAACACAATTCTCAAACAGCAAAAGGTCTTTTACATCCTCTCGGGATGTCGCGTTTATCTGCTACCTTTACCTTTGGGTTGATCTACTTGAGGAAGTTAATCTTACACAGCAATATCTGCAAACTGAAGGTTTTACTCTTGACAAAGTGGTGACCAACCTAGAGGCCTTAAGATTGTTTCTACACGAGAAGGGGAGACACTTGGTGCAACATGCTATTGAAAAGGCACTTTTAAAATCAGACCAGTGTGAAATTTTGGTAGAGAGAAGATAAAGGTTTAAAAAGATTATGGCAGGAGAACTGTTTACGATTTGCCATGGGACAGTCACACAAATCTGTACTTCTATTATTTTGCAAGTAAGGGAACATTAGCGAAACTATAGTGCTAAATGAAGAGATAAAACATTCACTTCTTTAGAGTTATAACCGGCTGTTTCCTCGAAGTTAAGGCTGTCTGATCTGGCTCTACTATCAATTTAAAGTGATGCGGTGAAGGATATTGATTTTGATTCTGGTTCTGTTTCTGGTTCTGGTAATGTTTCGTTGCTGCATCCATGTACTGGCATCTTTGCAACGGTTGGGGATATGATGTTGCTATTCTAACAGCTCCTAGCTGATGCCAGGGCAGTATTGAAGCTTTCGACCAATGTCGAGTTCATAGTGGCTTCGTTGAGGTGGTTCCATGCTATTATTGTGCGTGGGAAGAATGATTGTTGATACTGCACTGTGTTGCACAGAGACACTTTGAAGCATTTGCTATTGTTTCTGGTGTAATTGTTTATGGGAATGTCAGTGGTGAAGTCCGTGGTCAGTGAGCGTTTTGCTCTGATCAGTCTACCCGGCATCAGTGGGCTGAGGTACGTGCCTGCTGGGATGGCCGGCACCAGTCCCATGATCCATTTATATAAGAATATCAGGCGGAGTTCCTCTCGTCTGTCTTTAAGGGGGGGGGGGGGGGGGGGTGTCAAATTTTTTTATGACAATTTGTGATGNGGGGGGGGGGGGGGGGGGGGGATGTCAAATCTTTTTAAGAGGCCAGTGACGAAGCCAGAAGTGGTGGATTTGTAGTCTCGAGAGATAAAACGCACCGCGTTACGTTGAATTCGATACATCTTGTCCACGTCTTGCTTAAGGTGTGGGTCCCAGGTGATCGCACCATATTCCAGTAGTGGACGGACGAGTGCGAGATAGGCATTTCGTTTGCAGGAAGTTGGGCAGTGGAGCAGTTTCTTCGATTGAAACCTATGCTGGAGTTGGCTTTTTTTTTTTCTTTTTTTTATATGGGGTGAACATTTTAGGTTATTGGAGAAGAGAATTCCAATGTATGGACTTTTGGATACGTGTTGGAGGATTGTCTCGTTTAGTGAGTAAATATGGGTTGATTGTTTTTTTTCTTGAGATTGTCATAGTGTAGCTTTTGGTTTCATTAAATTTCATTTAATTGATTGACAAGTTTGCAGCGTTGAAACCAGTAAAGTTTTCAATCAAATAAATTTAATGTTATAATAACTATGACTTAAATTATACATTAACCTCCTAACATTCAATTAATTTGTTTTTCTCTTGTTATCGTTATACTGTGGACTTATTTTAACGGGGGACATCAGGAGTTAACCGCACCGGATGACACCAACCGTAGCTCCGCCACTGCTAGTTAACTAGCACACACAATCGTACCAGTTTGTACAATCAGTGATAAGAATAAGGACAAGTTAACTAGCATACACAATCATACCAGTTTGTACAATCAGTGATAAGAATAAGGACAAGTTAACTAGCATACACAATCATACCAGTTTGTACAATCAGTGATAAGATTAAGGACAAGTTAACTAGCATACACATTCGTACCAGTTTGTACATTCAGTGATAAGACTTTTTTGTTTGTTGTTCGTCAGGCGAAGTCGACTAGGACCATCGGGTCATCCAAAGGTTAGGGGGAGGTTGGGTTACGGTGAGCTCGTAGGTGGCTTGCTAGACCGATCCGTGCTCGGAATAATCTTTGGCACCGCGGGCATGGGATAATTGCTTCAGACGGTGACCTAATGTTGCTCTTTTGGTCAAGACTGCGTGTCTCAGCTGTGGTTATCCTATTAGCTTCATGGGATTTAGCCCCCTTTTTGACAGCAGCTCTCCACCTGGCTCTGTCCTAGGCAGTCTGCACCCATTGAGTAGGGTTTATGCCAAAGGCCTTTAGTGCCACTTTCAGTGAGTCTTTATAACGCTTTTTTTTTACCTCTTTGGGAGCGCTTGCCTATCGTGAGTTCTCCGAAGAATAAATGTCTCGGGAGCCGGTGGTCTTCCATACGGGCTACGTGTCCCATCCAACGGAGCGGAGACTGCATCAGAGTGGTGAAGATACTAGGTAGGTTCGCTCTAGCGAGGACCTTGGTGTCGGGGACTTTGTCTTACCACCTGATGCCGAGGAGTTTCCTGATGCAGGTTGTGTGAAAATGATTCAGTGTCATGGCGTGACGCTGGTAGACTGTCCACGTTGCACATCCGTAGAGCAATGTCGAGAGGACTGCTGCGCTATAGACCATGAGCTTTGTTTTTCGTCTGATACCTCTCCTGTCCCAAACAGTGCTGCGGAGCCTGCCAAAAATGGCACTAGCTTTTGCGAGTCTGCAATTCATTTCATCATCCATGACGACAGATCTAGAGAGAGTGCTGCCCAAGTAAGTAAATGTATCCACCGGGTTGAGACGCTGTCCACTGATGATGATTTTGGGTTCAACGTAGGGCTTACCGGGAGCTGGAGGATACATCATCTCAGTCTTCTTTGTGTTGATTGTGAGGCAAAAGTTATTGCAGGCCTCAGAGAAGATATCAAAGCTGTGTTGCATGACGACTTCTGAGGGAGCGTTGAGGGCACAATCATCTACAAACAGAAGCTCGTTGATGGTGCTATATTTGAACTTGGTTTTAGCTTGAAGCCTCCCAAGGTTAAATACTGATCCATCAGTGCGAAACCGGATCGGCAAGCCCGTGGTGGAGTCCTTGAACGCATCAGACAGCATTGCGGAATACATAATACTGAAGAGTGTGGGAGCAAGTACACAACCCTGCTTTACACCATTTGTGACGGGGAATGCTTGAGATGATTGACCGTTGTCCTGCACTCGGGCCATCATACCATCATGCAGCTGACGTATGATGTTGGTGAACTTGTCTGGGCATCCGTACTTCTTCATGATTTTCCACAGGCCAACTCTATTGACACTGCCAAAGGCCTTATTCAAGTCGATAAATGTAGAATATAAATCTGTATTTTGTTCCTGGCATTTCTCTTGAAGCTGTCTAGCAGCAAACACCATATCGATGGTTCCGCGTTTTTTTGCGGAAACCGCATTGACTTTCGGGTAGGAGACCTAGCTCCAGATGTGCATTCAGGTGGTTCAGAAGGGCTAGGGCCAAGATCTTGCCTGCAATGGACAGTAGTGAAATTCCGCGGTGATTGTCGCAGGGCTGGCGGTTTCCTTTGTGTTTGTACAGGTGGATAATTGAGGCATCCTTGAGGTCTTGTGGTACAGTTTCCGTCTGCCAGATGATCTGGAATAGACGCAAAAGCTTATCCGTCAGCGCTGGTCCACCCTCTTTGTAGATTTCGTCAGAAATCATGTCGAGGCCAGGTACTTTGCCATTGGACATTTTGCGAATTGCTGTATGTATCTCATCAAGTTGGGACGGCGTCTAGTGACTTGTTCTTTGGGACTTGCGGAAGTCTTTCAATGGTGTCATCATTAATGTTGGAAGGCGTATTTAGCACACTTTCAAAGTGTTCCGCCCATCTTTCCAAGATTTTTCTCTTTGTCTGTCATGACTGTAGAACCGTCTGCACTAAGGAGAGGGGAAGAGTCTGGGGTGGCAACACCATAGATTTTTCAAAAAGTTTTTCATGTCTTTCTTGTCTGATAAGACTAAGCACAAGTTAACTAGCATACACAATCGTACCAGTTTGTACAATCAGTGATAAGACTAAGCACATGTTAACTAGCATACACAATCGTACCAGTTTTTACAATCAGTGATAAGACTAAGAACATGTTAACTAGCATACACAATCGTACCAGTTTGTACAATCAGTGATAAGACTAAGCACAAGTTAACTAGCATACACAATCATACCAGTTTGTACAATCAGTGATAAGACTAAGGACATGTTAACTAGCATACACAATCGTACCAGTTTGTACAATCAGTGATAAGACTAAGGACAAGTTAACTAGCATACACAATCGTACCAGTTTATACAATCAGTGATAAGACTAAGGACATGTTAACTAGCATACACAATCGTACCAGTTTGTACAATCAGTGATAAGACTAAGCACAAGTTAACTAGCATACACAATCGTACCAGTTTGTACAATCAGTGATAAGACTAAGCACAAGTTAACTAGCATACACAATCGTACCAGTTTGTACAATCATTGATAAGACTAAGGACATGTTAACTAGCATACACAATCGTCCCAGTTTGTACAATAAGTGATAAGATTAAGCACAAGTTAACTAGCATACACAATCGTACCAGTTTGTACAATCAGTGACAAAACTAGTGACTGCGTTGCTAGCATGTATTATCATGACAGTTTGGCCATTAAATGAGAAGACGAGAATGACATATTATCTTATTTTTTTCAATTTCAACCTACCAGTAGAGTTAGACACATCTGATCATGATGGAAAAGATTGACCACAAGCTGGTTAGTGAGCCTTCAATAAGTATCGTATACTTTTGTTTTTTATAAAGACTTAAGACTCCTATCTCTCATGTTGCATTTTCGCTAACCGATTACAAAAATAGTTTTAATATGTAAACTTCGATGCCAATACTTTTGGCTAAAGTCTAAAGTCTAGTCTAAAGTCTAAAGTCTAGTCTAAAGTCTAAAGATACGTATCGAATGGTTTGCAAAATGTTCTGCCATTCATTATTTTGTTTTGTACATCATTTGACACAGGTGGTCTTGTGGCTTGTTTTTCTCACGTCATTGGGAGCAGCTGCCAAAATAACAGGTAATGCATTCAAACATTATCTCTTCGGGCATGTTTGTTGTCTGTAAAGCTATTTCAATTTTTTTATGTTTTCATTTTTATTATTATCTAAGGATCTAATTGTGAGGTGGGTGTATGTATATATGTCTCTTTTATGGCGAGGTAGGCTACTCTTTTGATTTGAACTGTGAATTCGGAGTACTCTCTTTCCCCCCCCCCCCTTTTCCGCAACCCTCCCTAGGAGAATAGTCGGAAAAGCAGGCCAGCGTTATCCAAGAGACAGAAACTGCGGAAATAGCAGCAATGTTAAATGAGGAGGTAGTGAGGTAGTGAGGTAGTCAGGTAAAGGTAGTGAGGTAGTCAGGTTGTCAGTTAGAGAGGTAGTCAGGTAGTGAGGTAGTCAGGTAGTAAGGTAGTGAGGTAGTCAGGTAGAGGTAGTCAGGTAGTCAGGTTGTCAGTTAGTGAGGTAGTCAGGTAGTGAGGTAGTCAGGTAGTGAGGTAGTCAGATTGCGAGGTAGTTAGGTAGTGAGCTAGTCAAGCAATGAGGTAGTGAGGTAGTCAGGTAGACAGGAATTGGGGTAGTGAGGTTGTCAGTTAGTGAGGTAATGAGGTAGTGAGTTTGTCTGGTAGTGAGGTAGTCAGGTAGTCAAGTAGTGAGGTAGTCAGGTAATGGGGTAGGGAAATACAAATAAGTATATATAAAAAGAGCCATGCTGTGCTGAATCTCGATGATTTCAAGCTTCACGCATCTACATCTTCTCCTACTAATAAAGTTTTTGTTGCTACAAATTTCTTTAAAACGATATGTTGCTTCTAACTTCAATTTTTCTAACATTTGATTGAATTGCTCACGTGTAACTAGCTCTGAAAGTTGTCAGGCAACCTTTGCAAGGGCTCGGAAGTGAGTAAAATTGGACTGATTCAATTAACTAATGTATAATTTCAGCTTAGATTCAAAAACATTGATTTCTTTTATCAGCGTTAGTATGATTTGAATACAACCGTGCATATTAAATTGAATCTATGAAGTTGATCTGTGGTCTGTGATGTCAGTTAGAAATGATAGGCTTGCAATAAACTCAGAATCATGCCAGAATCTTGCCAGAATCTTGCCATCACTTTCCATTTGCACATCAGTATGAAGAAGAAAAAAACATAAATTTCATACATATTCTTCTAACCACGTTTTAAGCTTTGGTTATTTAATGAATTAGCTCGAATGAATTTTATAGTTTTCACCCCACTATACATAGCATTTTGCAGTGTATCATCTTTCAGCCGTGAGCAAAGAGATTGCTGTTGACTTACACAATTATACCCATAATTTGAATGTCTGAGAAATTGTTCGCAGCCTTCAGAAATCCAATCAAGCCAACTCTCTACCCACCATTGTAGGAGCACCATCTTTTGTAACGGAAATTTGCTTCTTATGTCCCAGAGTCACAGAGACTACTGTATGTTCTACTGTCCCAGAGACTATTGTATGTTCTACTGTCCCAGAGACTATTGTATGTTCTACTGTCCCAGATGAAGGTGTATGTTTTACTGTCCCAGAGACTATTGTATGTTCTACTGGCACAGAGACTAGTGTATGTCCTACTGTACCAAAAACTAATAATAATGATAATAAAGTTTATTTGAAAAACATGCTTCATCCCCAAAGGCTCGAAGCGTGGTACAAAGACAACCATATTAAAAGAGAAATGAAAAAATCTATATTATACCACATTAAAATACAAAACGCAACATTGCAAAAACTACATACGAGACAAACCCATTCAAAGTCTTTCATCCCTTAACAACACAGGCTAATATATATCTAGGAGATAATATCTAGCTGGAAAAGATGGTAGACAATATCACCCCAGCAGGTGTTTGCGAAATAGATGTGTTTTCAATTCGGTTTTGAAAGACTCCAGTATCTGGCTGTTTCAGAGAGCGACAGGAAGTGTGTTCCAAATTGTTGGGCCAGCAAATGCGAAAGTGCGCCTTCCGTAAGTCTTTAGGCGAACACATGGTATCGAGAGTATGCCACTATTGCATGAGTGGAGTTGTCTAGTGGGTATATACCTCGTCATGAGCGCTTTGAGATAGGACGGCGCCAGGTCATGCAAGCAGTTGTCGCACAGAGTTACAGTTTTGTACTCTATGCAAGCGCAGACCGGCAGCCAATGTAACTCTCTCAGAAGTGTTTTAGCATGGTCAAATGTGCTTTTGCGAAGAACAATTTGCGCCGCATTATTTTGTGTGTTTTTTGTTTTTTTTATCCAGGAGCGTTGCTGGAAGACCCCTCATGAGAGCATGGCAGCAGTCCATGAGTGATAGCACGAATGTAGACATCGGTCTCTTTGCAAGATCAAACGTTAAGAAAGGTGTGATATGAATAAATCTGCGCAGCTCTAGAAAAATCGCCTTCCAGAACATGTTAATGTGATTTTCCATAGTTGGTGTTCTATCCAAGTAGACACCCAGGTCTCGCACCGAGAAAATTCAATCTGTATTCCTGAGAGAGTAAGGGGTGGTGTGTTATTTACAGATTTTAGCTTTTGATCGGTAGCAATGGGGATCAGTTTGATCTTATTTATGTTCATCCAGTGCTTAACTGACTCTACTGTCGTCTGTGTCATACTAAGAAGCTGAGGGAACTTAGAGGGGAACACGGAATGCTAAAGTTGGGTATCATCCACGAACATGTGATATAGCATGTCAATCTGCTTGAACACTGAACCCAGCGGCTGAACCTACATAGTGAAAAGCACCATGCCTAGGACCGAGTCCTGGGGTACTCGGAATTCGATAATAGATCGCTTCGAGGCCAAGCCGTTTGTGATAACTGATTGGAACCGATTTGTCAGATACGAACGGAACCATCTCAGGACGGTATCGGTGAAACCGAATGTTTTTTGCAGACGCTGGAGAAGTATGCAGTGGTCGAGCGTATCGAAAGCTGCCGATAGATCAAATAACGACAAATAACATCACAAGATGACAGAAGGTCATTTACGACACGCAACAGAGCTGTCTCAGTAGAGTAATGCGCCCTGTATGCTGACTGGAAAGGCTCAAACAAGTTACACCGAGTGAGGTGGTTCAGGAGCTGGCGGAGAACGACTTTCTCTAAAATTTTGGACACAAAGGGCAGATTTGAGATTGGGTGATAATTTTAGGGTCGAGGTTAGCAGTGGAGTTATAGCCGCCTCTTTAACAGAGGATAGGACAATACCAGTTTTCAAAGACTGATTTATGATACTATTTATGAAAGGGACTATTTCATCCAAACATTCGTACAATAGCCATGACGGAAGAGGGTCGAGCAAACATGACTTTTTCAGGGAGTCAACAAGGATTTTTTTCACATGCGATTCAGTGACTTCTAAAAATTCGCTCAAAGGAGTGCCGTTAAATGGCAAGACTTCGGGAGCATCGGTGAAAATGTCAAGTCTCGCACTGATCTTCGTAACTTTCGTAATAAAAAAAACTCATTTAGAGCGTCTGGCAGCTCGCCTACGACAATGTTATTTGGCAAAGATGTATCCTTCTGTTTACCGGTCAGCTTACCCACAATACGTGCTAGTAATGGGCTTCGCAAAAGCATTTGACCATATGAATCATAGTTTGCTTCTACACAAACTCCAGAGATATGGGATTCAAGGCACCACTAAAACATGGATCTCTAGCTTCCTAAGCCGCCGACGCCAAGCAGTAGTGGTGGGCGGTACAAGCTCCTCCTTTGTCGATGTGAAGTCAGGGGTCCCCCAGGGATCAGTCCTGGGCCCATGTTTGTTCCTAGCATACATTAATGACCTACCCGTGAAACTGACATCACAGGCAAGACTGTTCGCAGATGACACAGCAGTGTATAGGACGATCGCCAACAGATCTGACCAGGACCAGCTACAACAGGATCTCAATCTGTTAGCTGAGTGGGAGATGAGCTGGGACATGGAATTTCACCCTGCCAAGTGTCAGACACTATCAATCTCTAGAAGTTGTACTTCTCTACACTACAAATACGAACTGCACGGCCATATACTTGAGCAAGTTTCCTCCGTAAAGTACCTGGGTGTTACCATTCAAAGAGAGGTCCGCTGGGACGAGCATATTAACAATGTATGTAACCAAGGAAACAAGACCCTAGGGTTCTTAAGGCGAAATCTAAAGATTGGCAACTCCTGTGTGAAAGAAAGAGCATATAAAGCCTTTATCCGTCCGATTTTAGATTATGCATCTTTAGTCTGGGACCCATTTACACAGAAGAGCATTGACAGGTTGGAGGCTGTCCAGCGACGAGCAGCACGCTTTGTCCTAAACCACTACAGGAATACCTCTAGTGTTGGCAGCATGCTAGAAACACTAGGCTGGTCACCATTGGAGAAACGACGACGACAATCCAGGCTCTCCACGATGTACAAGATAAATAATGGGCTGGTCCACTGTTCCAGTATTAAACAGAAACTCGTCCCTCTCCCCCATAGACAGCGACGAGGCCATCACAGGCAATTCAGGCTCATACCAGCAAGAAGCCAGTATAGGAGCTGCTCATTCCTGCCCAAGACAATAAGGGACTGGACCAATCTTTCAAAGGGAACGGTTGAGGCGACAACACTAGACACATTTGTGTCCATTGCCTCAAGCCTTCAAACCCGTAGTGTATGATTTCCTCATCAACACCAGTAACAGAAACATTGCAAATACCATCTACATGCATAGGAGCCAAAATGATCAATAAATTGATCGTGGGCCCTTAAGATATAGAAGAAGAAGAAATAAGTCCCTACTTGAGCTACAATCTACAATATGGGGACTGACATATTCAGTCCTAACTGCAAGGACCAACTTCTTAGTTCGTTCCTTGTAATCAACAAAGATTTGTCGTTGCACGGTCAAGCCAGACTTCCGCCATTTGCGTTCTGCACGTCGCTGCTTCTGCTCTGCGTCCTTTATTTCGGGCATGAGCCAAGACGCGGAGGGTGGTCCGTAACGCACCGTGAGTACAATTGTGCATGTTTGTCTAAAATGACTCTGAGGCCACTGTCGTAGTCTATGGTAGAGTTTTCTTCACTGTACCTGAGGGCAGCGACATCATATCTGAAGGCCACTAGATCTATCTTTCGGAGGTCACTGAATGTGACTGTGTGCATAAGGCGCACTGGCTTCCTCAAGTCAAAGTCAAAGTCAAAGAATACTGGGAAATGATCAGAGATCAGTTTGTCTTCGAAGATGAGGTTGCGGATCATAGCTGCATGGTCCTCTCTGACAACCAGCCAATCTAGGATGTGACCCCGCTTATGTGTCGGGACACGGACAATCTGGGTCATTCCGTGTGTGTCAAGAGCTAATATAGGGTCTTCACATAGCTGTCGGTGGTGGAATCATAATGGAAGTTTGTGTCACCAATTATGATGACGTTGTTGTTGGTGGTGGCGTACATGTCCATGAGCTGTAGAAACTCTGCAGTAAACTGACAGATATTCAACTTATTTTGCTTATTAGGAGGTGGCCTGTATATGCACAGCAACGTCATCACTTGGTCACCATAATAAAGTTGCATCCTGCACATCTCAAATGAAACAAATTCGTCCGATTTTGAGAAGGCCACAATATTTTTGAGGGAGCTCCTGTAAAGAGCAGCAATACCCCCGCCACTACGCGACTGCCTTGGGCAAAAGTGAAGGACGTAGTCTGGAGGTAAAGTGTAATTTCTTGCAGCTTGACCTCATCTCCGGCATATTTAAACCACGTCTCGGTAATGAATATAGGGTCGGCCCGGCTCTCCAAAACCAGATCACACACCTCAAATGTTTTATTCCTGCATGAATGGGAGTTGAAATACAGCACTCCGAAAAGCCGTGATTGCGGCTTGACAACAGGCTGGCAGTCCACAATAGCTAGCTTTGATCTCGTCACGCCCCGTGGAGGCGATGTGAAATCATGAGCCACTGGCTGTGACCTTATGATTGACACCTAGGGAATGGTCGCTATGGATGACACGGTAGGTGGCTGATTGCCGTCATCCACCTCGTCACTGAAAGCTTCGTTTACGATCTCCGCAAGCAATAATATTGACGTAGCTGTCGCCATGGTGGTATTTCAGTGGACGCTGTTTCCGGCGACAAGCGCAATAAAGACGCTTCTTCTTTCGTCGTGCGCCAATTTTCCGTCCACTACCACGATGCGTATGCTTCCGGGGCAGACCTCGACCAAAGGAAAGTTCTTTCAGTCGATACACGAGGTCAGTGGTCAAGTGTATACGCTAGGCATTCATTGACAATAGTCGATCACGTGAGTAGATCAGCACAGCCAGATTTCCTCCGTGGAGCCGGGGTGTGCCACCAACCGTGTCATTAGCTGGCATGAGCGATGATTGTGGTGACAACAAAGATGGCCTACCGTGAAGGAACGGGCAAACACCCACAAAATTACAATATAATCAAGATCTCGATCCTATACGTGCGTGGAAGGCGAAGTCTCGAGCTCAAGACAAATATTACTTACGTGATATTGAATATATTTGATTATAATAATAGTTTCTCAACACCTTCCTGTTTTTGTACAATTTCGGTAAACAAAACTTTGTAAGGCAGCCATCTTGTTGCTAGCCGGAAGTATATATGGTGTATGCCCTACTGTCCCAGAGACTAGAGTATGTCCTATTAATATTATCCACGAATTGCCTTCTGTGAGGGGTGGGGGTGGGGAGCGTACGCAACACGTTAGGAACCAATACAAAGATTGACATATCACGTCATAATGGTTTATAAATAATTATTTTTTGGAGTGGAGGGACGAGAGCTCATTGTACGTATGCTGAAAGTGGTGTCGGGGGGAGGGTGTGGGTGTATGCGTTATAAAAATATATGGAGTGTCCCTAATATAAATCATTCCATAACCGTTAACCTGAGAAAAAACTCGCATTTTCTACATACAAGAAAATAATTAGTAACCAGATATTTATAGTGATCGCCATAATGATTTGTTTGTAGTTTGCTGGTTTATAATAATAATTTTTTTCTAAGTTCCCTCATTTGATCAGCTTTAGATGAATAGATGGCTTAAGTCAATGTACACCAAAGAACTAGCTTGTCCTCAAGATCCCCTACCCCCGTCCCGAAGTGTCTGCATTTGTCCGGTTTTTAAGGAGCGACCTCCCCTTTCCCCGTATCTAAGGACGTCCTTTCAAGATGACCCTAACAACCAAACAAGACCAAGCCCAAAACCAAACCGCCCATCAAATGGACCAAAACAGTAAACCACGTGTCTCCCTTGTCCAGTGTCTCCAACAAAAACAAAAAAAGAAGCAGCAGGTCAAAATAAGTACCGTATGAGAATGAAATAAATGAACTCAAACTTCTAAGTGGACATTTCATGCAAAGCTATTTTCCCTCATACTTATTTGCCTTCACAGAGCTTTAAACCTAAATAATATTAAGATGTTTTAATTGTGGTTTGTAAGGTGAGAACGAAGAGAAACACCATGTGCGTGGTTGGATGCAAGACGCGATAGAAAGCCAGAGCCGGACATCCATCTCAACGGGACGTGGTACAGGACGCAGAACGGGACATGGTACGGGACGCAGTACAGGACATGGAAAAGGAAACGCTACAGAACATGATGCCAGACATAGTGCGGGACAAGGAAAAGGACACAGTTCAGGACATGGTAAACGTCGCTGTAAAGGGCACATTACAGGACAGACATCGGTACAGGACACTACAACAGCCAAAGTCCCCACTACCTCTGAATACAATCAACCTACAGCCAATCACGTGCCGGTTATTTCAGGTAAATTTTATGTTCTTTGTAAATAAACGTGGTACAATGAACTGCACTTGGTTGTCAACGGAGGGATTACAAGGACTGCGTGAAGATGGGACGCTATGCAATCAATAAACGTTTAATGATGGCGACAGAGTGTGCTATATACCGTTGGCTATCAATGTAGCACCTAGCTGAATGTGCTGTATACCGTTGGCTATCGCTGTAGCACCTAGCAGAATGTGCTTTATACCGTTGGCTATCGCTGTAGCACGTAGCTGAATGTGCTGTATACTGTTGGCTATCAATGTAGCACCTAGCTGAATGTGCTGTATATCGGTGTCTATCAATGTAGCACCTAGCTGAATGTGCTGTATACCGTTGGCTATCGCTGTAGCACCTAACAGAATGTGCTTTATACCGTTGGCTATCAATGTAGCACCTAGCTGAATGTGCTGTATATCGGTGTCTATCAATGTAGCACCTAGCAGAATGTGCTTTATACCGTTGGCTATCAATGTAGCACCTAGCTGAATGTGCTGTATATCGGTGTCTATCAATGTAGCACCTAGCAGAATGTGCTTTATATCGTTGGCTATCAATGTAGCACCTAGCTGACTGTGCTGTATACCGTTGGCTATCGCTGTATAAGAACCTAGCAAAATGTGATGCATACCGTTTTTTATCGCTGTAGCACCTAGCAGAATGTGATGTATACCGTTGTTTAGCGCTGTAGCCCCTAGCAGAATGTGATGTATATAGGGCATCCTTCCGTCTTCGCGAGATGATGGAGTAGCTATGTAGTCCTACACTTCGACGAGTGGCTCACTAGGCCAATCCTAGAATGACAATCACGGTTGCATTTCTCGCAGGAGAATATTGATTCCTGGTAAAATCTTGACTTCTGTATTGTTCTTATTGTTGCAAGGGCCTCGTTTCGCGTATCTTCTGCCTTTTTTACTCCTTCAAACACTGCTGTTCGCCAGCTGGAACGTTGTTCGGCAATAATCTGCTATTCTTTGTTTTCAATATTGGCTTCCCTCATGCTCCTTTTGCAAACGTCCATAAATCTCCGGCGTGGCCGTCCAATAAGTCTTGTCCCTTCTGCCAACTCTCCATAACGCAGCATCTTTGGGTTACGGCTTTTCACCATTCTCCTTACGTGGCCTAACGAGCGAAGGCGCCGCTTGCTAAGAAAGGAGAAAATACCAAACATGTGTGCACGTTCCAAGACCCCCGTGTTAGGCACCTTGTCCTGCCATCGAATGCGTAAAATGCAACGCAGACATCTTTGATGGAAGCTGTTGAGTTTCCGCTCCTGACTGGTATTTAGTGGTCCACGCTACCATATAGGAGCGCACTAAGCACACATGCCTGATAGATACTTACTTTTGTTTTATCAGTTAGATAGAGATTATTCCACACCCGCTTATTCAGTTTAGCCATAGTTGCTGCTGCTTTTGCGATCCTGATATTTATCTCTTTATCGAGGGAGAGAGAACTAGAAATATTGGATCCAAGGTTTGTGAAATGCGCAACAACCGAAAGATGATGACCCTCAATAGATATGATTGGAGGGGACAGTGCTTCTTGCATCATTACATGTGTTTTCTGTAGACCAGGCCTGCACAACTCAAAATGTAAATCGGGCCGTAATACATTATGAAAAACTTGTGCGGGCCAAAAGAAAATAAGACAGGACTTGTGCGGGCCAAAAGAATATAGGTCAGGAGGGAAGCTATTAAGAAAATATTAAGAATAAAGAGTTTTTCGTTACCTCGCGGGCCACAAAGTGGGTGCTGGCGGGCCACATGTTGTATACAATGGTCAGTCACTATATCGCCTAGCAGAATGTACTGTATACAGTGGTCTATCGACGTTGCACATCAGTTTACCCTTTCATTTGTGTTAATCTTTTCAATGTCACAGTCTTCAATATGTATAGGATATGCTCTATGTAATCTAAACGCCATGAAGTAAGTAATATAAATAACACACTATGGAATCTAAATTGCATGGTCTGTGTAATCTAAATGACAAGGTCCATGCATTTTTATTGCCGCCTGAGGCAGGCCAAGATATTTATCATCCATGCCAAATTATCTCCCATCTTTAAAATGCTTCTCCTAAAAAGGAAGTAGTGCACCCCCTCTTCTCCCCCAAATGCCATTGTCTATGTCATCTAAACGTCTTAGTACATATTGATGATTATCTCAGGGTCTTCATTTCTCAACAGAGCATCTCAAATCTGCTAGAAAGGTCGAGCTTCCAACCTTTTCCGCTGAACAGTTCCTCAAAGACTGGGAAAAGCGCCAGATAGAAATAGAACAAAAAAGATTCGAACAAAATAAAGAAACAAGTTCTGACGCCAGTGCACATGTAAGAGACCAACAAAATAAAGAAACAAGTTCTGACGCCAGTGCACATGGAAGAGACCAACAAAGGAAACAAACACGTTCTGACGCCAGTGCACAGGGAAGAGACCAACAGAAGACAGAAGTTGAGGCCGTAGAGGGCTCCCAGAAGACGGAAGTTGAGGCCGTAGATGGCTCCCAGAAGACAGAAGTTGAGGCCGTAGACGGGCCCCTGAGCAGCAAGAAATCAAACGAGGGGTCATCTCGCCTTAAAGGTAGGCAATTCATAATATAAAAGGATTTGATTTCAAAATCAGGGCATCGCATTCTTAATCAGCATTCACAATGCTAGGTAACTCTTCATAGTTTTCATACACGATAAGTAAAGTTACTTTTCATCAACCCTAATAGCTAACTGACCCGCAAGGTACTAACGATGAGAGAGCTAAACAAACTTTAATTAACAATTAAATAGATATCCAAATGATTGCTTAAATGCTGAATGCTGAAAATTATGTTAGATTTGGGCGTCCGTACGTGGGGTGTTTTCAATGACAGTTGCGCATTCACAAGGCCTGAGCTAGATGTTTGCATGGAGAATATGCTGTTTCTCAGTACCTTCCTCGTGCATACATTCATCATGCCTTATTGTACACACTTGTTTCATCCATAGGCGGAAAACCTACACCAGTCCGTCGCCGACCAAGTCGAGTCCGTCATGACGCCGATGACGTTGCAAAGTTCTTCGAACATCGCTACAATCAGCTGCTAACTCTAAACAACTAATGCAAGGGAGACAACAAACAAACAAAGAAGCAAAACTAGAAGGAGATGTCTGGTGTCGATAAGCTGACAAGAAAGAAACAACTGTTGACAATTTGAGGACCCTCGACAACTACTATGGGATATAACTTTTGACGCAGTGAAGAACCAGTCAAGAGGAGACTACTATCAGTTAAAAAAAATAAAAATGCAAGGATTGAGGGGTAATCTACCACTTGAGCGTCGGCTACGAAAAAAATCGATTTGTTCCGGTTTGAAGTGCTATTTATAAACAATTATGTTTTTATGACATTGTACATTTTCATTTCAGCACATATAGCCTATAAGTATAATGCAAATACTCCAAGGCTTTGTTTTTTTTTTTAAATAGAAAAACTAAAACAATTGAAAAATTTAAATGAAAGTATAACTTAAACATTTTGGATCAACAAAATTGTGTTTATGCACCACAAAGGAGTGTTCATTTATTGGATATGTTCCATTTCTGAATTGGTTTAAAACAGTATCAGCCGCCCACTCGTATGATAGAAAATCAGTGAGTCGGACAGGATATAGCTTTCTACATGGCACGTCATTCTGGCACCCACTCTCTTTCTACGCCACCAAAAACCCAATGACCCTCTCTCTACCGTCCACGGTGATATGTCCTGTGAAAATAGTAATTTTTTAAATAGAACTTCAAAGTCAAACCGGAACAACTAGATTTTTTAGAGCCGACGCTCACCAGAGTGGTAGATTACGAGACGATGAGGGTGTTAATACTGAAGACAAAGACATAACTCCGAAGAAGACACCAACTGATATTTATTTTAAAATTATTTTTTTTTATTAGCAGTACTTGCGGACACAATCAATTTAACAGGAGAGGACAACCGCGAACACTAAACAATTTATTTTAATAATGAATGGACAATTTATTTTAAAAAGGAATGGACAATTTCTAACACTTAGTACCTAACACTAAACAATTTAACATACAAGAACAACTGCTAACTCTAAGCAATTTATCTGGTAACACTAAACAACATTACAGAAGGAGACAAATGCTGACACGAACAATTTAACAGAAGGAGACAACTGCTGACACTGAACAATTTAACAGAAGAAGACAACTGCTGACGCTGAACAATTTAACAGAATGAGACAACTGCTGACACTGAACAATTTAACAGAATGAGACAACTGGTGACGCTGAACAATTTAACAGAAAGGTGGCAAATGTTAACACTTCAATATAATAGGAAAAGAAAATTGTTATTTAATTAAAAAAACACATTGATCTATTAAAACTCCATAGTTTAAAATGTAAATAAAATTCATTTGCAATCTTAACGGTTCTGGCGTTTTTGTATTTATTTATTTAATGTGTATGGGCATTAATAAGCAGGGTTTAAATTTTAAAAATAATTTGTAGGGGAGGTAGTCCCCTAAATTGTGGGAGTGCATTTTTCTTTAAAAACAACTAACTAGCACACACCAATGAGAAATACTGTAGCTTGGTTTATTAAATAAAAGTTGTGTGTGTGTGTTGCTTTTTTTACAATTTAAATATAAAACATTCTGGTTTTAATCACCCTTATATATTATGTAAACATGTGTTAAAAAAATGTTAAAATGGTACTTCAATACATCACTGGATGATAGACAAGCCAGGCTTCTTTTCCAATACTCAAATATATATAATAATAAATAGCACAATACAGACTGGTGGACCTAGACAAAGATGATTAGGACACCTATAATAGGACATAAAGGATTCAAAACACAATGGGGTCTAACACTACAAAAAAAGGGTCCTTAGTTTAACATATGAACCCATTTATTAAAAAAAGGAAAAACAATAAAATGGCCCATGATAGTACAAGAGGGTGAGGTGTTCTCATAATTAGGAGATGGAACACATAATCATACAAGGGTTCCCATTCATAATAAGATGAGAGGTTTTGTCACCTTGTTAAATGAGCACTAGTAGATAACTTACCACCAAAAAAAAAATGTTATAGACTGCTCTTTAAATATTATTAAAACTTAATAACTGATGGTACCCTATAGAAATACATGGTTTCTTAAATTAAATAGAATACAGTTTTAAAATAAAACATGGGGGCATTGTATGTACGTACAAAATATTAATTATATTCTTTAAAATTATATCTATTAATATTGAATTGTGGGGGTGGGTATGTCACAGCAGTAGCAAATACACAGAATTTAAAAAAATATTTATATACAAAACAAAGTGGAAGTTTATTACTTTTTCACCCAAAGGTGAACATTTCTGTTAATGAAATGATGAAAGAAAAATATAATATATCTATAAAATTACATTTTGTCAATGCATTTTTAAAATCTCTATCTTGAATATAGATTGAAGAAGATTTCCTTAGCGCTGCCTATAAAAACCAAAAATCAAACAATCCTTAGAACCCTTTCATTATTGCTGGTTTTGGCATCGATTTTTGCTGACACAGCAATTTAAAAACTTAAAGATGAAACTTCCTATATTATTTCAGTCTCTATACTATCTGATTTGCTTATTAATGAATAAAGAAAAATATAGCATTGAAATATGACGTCGACGTGACATCCTTGGTATTTCAGAAATCTTCTTTGCATCTTTGTTATGACGACAATGACACATCCATGGTAATTGAAAGTGGGTGATCGTGACATTGCGTCGACGTCAGCAGTAACGAAAATGTTAAAAAACAGGTCTTATCATTCAAATGATGTTATTCAATAAAGGATCATTAAATACTTTTTTGTGTGGTCTTTCTGAATAATGTCAGTTGGTTTCATAAAAGTTTCAATTTATAAAGCAAATAATTATTTAGAAATGAAAAATGTTAAATTTCAACAATACACTATTTCTCAGATAAACTTTTTAAGCTTCATTCAATAGTTCAAACAAAATTAATATCTAACAAGTGTGACATAATAGAATAACATATAATATATCACATTATTTAAATCTAGAGTGTGTGTTCTAATTTTATAAAATGTATTTACTCATACACAAACTTTCATCATAATAACACAGCCATCTTGTTTAAACAGAAAAGGAAAATTATTTAATTTTGTCCCATCTGCCTGGTCACCGCCTCAATAATCAGACAGAATTTATTTTATTCTTGTTGGCAGCATTCAAGTTTTTCCGTAGCATTGCAATCATTCGGGGTTTGCTGACAATGCTGTACTCGCTGGACATGGCCTCGAACATGAGGTTCAGAAGAGTGTTCTCTAAAATCTGCTCTACTGTGTTCCCAAACTCTGGTTGCCTGAGAAAAATATTTCAATTTTCAAATAATTTAATTTTTAAATAGTTCAATTTTCATGGGTTCAATTTTCAAATAGTTGGTAAAAATTGATCAATTTAATATATAAAATTAAAATACCAGGTATTAGAATCATTTTGTTTACATTTACAACTTTGTTTTCCCAACACTTTCAATAGTCTAACTTTGTAGGGTCCTTTTGAAAAAAATACAATTTTCTTTAATCATATTAAACTGATGATAATTCTGGAAAGATATGGAGCTCAAATTTGCGCACTCAGCTGGGTCAGTGCTTTTTCATTTTTAAAACAAATATCCACACATAAAAATGGAGAAAGTGTGATAGCAAAGGAATGGCAAAGGGATGCTTATCAATCCTAAAATTTTATTCACCATCCTACATTTACTATAAAAACAAAATGATAATAAAAGTCAGAGTGTTTTTAAGAATAGTAAATTTAATTATTTTGTTAAAATGATATTTCCTAAATTTCTTATTGATGAAAATTTAGGCTTATGCATGAAAAGTTTAAAGATGCTTATAAAAGACAATTCTTTTAAAGATTTTTGTCAGAAAGTTCGGTTTTGAATTAACTGTCATTTTATATCAGTCTGTCAGGGTGTTAAATGGCCTGTGCCAAAATTAAAATGTTTGTAAGGAATTTAAATTAAATTGTTTGTCAGTGTGTCAAATTTTCGGGGTATCTGATTGTCTCAAGCTCTAAGACCCATTGGCCTACCTTGTCTCTAAAACCCATTGGCCTACCTTGTCTCTAAGACCCATTGGCCTACCGTGTATCTAAGACCCATTGGCCTACCGTGTATCTAAGACCCATTGGCCTACCGTGTATCTAAGACCCATTGGCCTACCGTGTATCTAAGACCCATTGGCCTACCTTGTCTCTAAGACCCATTGGCCTACCGTGTATCTAAGACCCATTGGCCTACCGTGTATCTAAGACCCATTGGCCTACCTTGTCTCTAAGACCCATTGGCCTACCGTGTATCTAAGACCCATTGGCCTACCATGTATCTAAGACCCATTGGCCTACCGTGTATCTAAGACCCATTGGCCTACCGTGTATCTAAGACCCATTGGCCTACCGTGTATCTAAGACCCATTGGCCTACCGTGTATCTAAGACCCATTGGCCTACCGTGTATCTAAGACCCATTGGCCTA